AGAATGGTTGAAAACGAGGGTTCTCCCACCCTAAATATTTTAAGGTGGGGGACACTCCAACCCCAGGATCCCCCAACCCGGCAGGGCTGGTGGGGGAATTCTGGGAGTTGAAGTCCACCCATCTTAAAGTTGCTGAGGTTGAGGAACCCTGTCTTACAGCACATCTTAGGCACATTGGCTCTGAACAAAGTCAAACTTATTTCTCTGAAACTTCTGTTCACGTCTTAATGAGATTATCACCTTAAAAAGATCCCATAGACACTTACCGATTAGGGACCTTGCTTGTTAAGCAAACCATAAAACTTGCTTCATTCACGTAAATCAGGTCCAGTCCCACGAAAGGCTCATCTTAGAACTTTGACAGTCCTTTCCTACTTGTTAAATATTACAAGCCTGCGACTGTTTCCTGGCCATGAATGGGCGATTAACAGGTGACTGAATTCTATTTAAAAAGTTATTATATTCTGAGCATTAAACAAACCATCAAAAAAGAGCTGTGACCAGCAGGGACAGCCTACTGAATTCAGTCTGTTTACCTCCAAATAAACCAGGATAAGACTTTCATGGGCATCCATGGGGGGGAGGTGAGAAAGAAAAAAAGTGAAGCCGCTTGTATGACGACATCACAACACATGTGATATCCTTGTGGCTTCTTCTGGATGCCAACTTTCATGTTTACTCAGAAGTAGGGGTAATTGCAATGAACTGGATCCAGAATTGGTAATTACCTATGGAAGACCCACTGAAGTAAGAGGAACAGTCATTACCAGCTTAAATCCCACTGACCTCAACGGTCTACTCTAAGAAGTCAGCAGGAAACTACACCTGCAAGACATTTGCTACCCCGCTCCTGCCTCTGTTCTGACTGGATGCTGCAAGGGGGCGTCCTGATTTTGGGTGTGCAGCGCATGATAACCACAGCGATTGGTTGACTCCTCCTGCTTCCTGCCCTCACCAGCCAATCAGAAGAAAAGGGGAGGATCTGGCTTCGGGACTCTGCCTATCATTTCTAGCCTCTTTCCTGTACCTACTCCCCTGTACCTATCATAACCTGCGCTGAACAAAGTTGTTTTTTTTTCCAAAAAGGCACGAGGGGTGCTGAGACCCAAAGCACTGCTTTTATTCAGAATTTCTCTCTCCTTTCCTTTCCTTCCTTTGGCACCAAACGCCAGCTTCCAACTCCACCATGCCTTGGGGGGGGCATGTCAGTCCCATCATTCTATAGAATCTATTCCATCTGGATCTGAACTGGTAAGGTAGTACAGGTAGTCCTTGTTTAGCGACTACAATTGAGACTGGCAACTCGGTCGCTAAGCGAAACGGCCGCTAAGTGGAACCACAACTGTGCTTATGATCTTACTTCAGCTTTCCTTTGCTTTACAGACCTGCAAAGGTTGTAAACGAAGGCTTGGTGGCAAAGTTACTTTTTCACGACTGTCATAACTGCGAATGGTTGCTAAACGAGGCAGTTGCTAAACAAGGACTACCTGTAATACACTTACAGCATTCCCAGATGAGGAGCCTGGCATGGCTGCCATCTAGAGGGGTTGCGGTCTAGTGCTATCACACAATTTTGATCAACCCCTGGTGCAATACGATATAACACTGGTTCCTTTTGTTCAGGGAGACAAAAGGATGCAGCAGATGGGGTTGAAATAGCCACTAACAACCCCTCTTGTTGTTTGTTGTTGTTCAGTCGTTAAGTCGTGTCCGACTCTTCGTGACCCCATGAACCA